TAAACATAATTGTATGCCTTCAATTGAATATATTTTGAATACAAGAGAATGCTTTCAACTACAGATAAAACGCAGTGTTGGTCATTTTGCTATAAATATGTATTCTTGGTAATTCTACTATAACGATGTATTTTTATACTTTCATAGTGTTTTCTTTTTGCTTGGGGCTTTAGTATTTGTTCATAGATGGGACCCTAACAGGTGCTACCACCTTAGGTCAAGGTGGACCTTGGAACAACAGCAATTAAGAGGTGGTTTCATGCTCTCTAAAACCTCAAATCACCCAATCAGAGGCTTAGAAGCTGGATGTAGTTTATCGTCATATCCAGGACTAACTAAATGTTTGAATGTGTGCAATTAGTTTGAAGGATTTGTTACAGATGGTAACAAAGAGAGGAGATGAACTGATTACATTTCTCAGATTAGACATTTTCACTTCGTCTCTCAGGTTGTAATCAGTGACGATGCACATTTTTATGGTTTCAGGAGGTTTCAAATTGAGCTGGACATTAAAACACAGTGAAAGAAAAGAAAATACAAAATAATAAGATACCTACTTCCCCTGCATATGTCACGCTGATTGAAGGTAAATCTTCAGATAAAAGAAATAAATCTGCAACTTCTTTAGACTTTCTGCAAAAAACAACGATTCAATCAATAAACTTATAGCACATCAACTACTCTATAAAAGCCACACAATAATACCAGTAGTAAATTTCCGATCCAATTTTGTAGCCATTTTGGTTTCTATAAAAACATTGATGGCATCAACCCTGAATCCATCATGAAAATTCAATATTCAATTCAATTAATAGATATTTTTTATTTTATTTATTTATTTATTTATTTTTAATTCTGTGACCCGTAGTGTCATAGGGGAACCATGTATACTTCAGCTACAGTAGAAGTGGTGTTTCTTAGGCAAGATAGCCTGATGAAGCCCAGTGAATTCAGAGTTACCTTCTCCTAGACTGGTTGCCACCCAAGGCTATAGAACCCAGTTTGTGCTGCTATTTACCCATAACTAGATAATGATTTTCTAATAAAAAAAGGAAAGTTATGTCAAAAACTGCAAAGACCTGCCATAACATGCACAAAGGGGTAAACCAACTTCATTCTCTTCATATTCCTTCAGCAAGAAGGCTGTTTCACTCTGACATCTTCTTCCCAAGAACCACCACTTTATAGAACAGATTCCTGAGGGGGGTGCTTTTCAAATCACTATAATCTTAATCGCCTCAAGTCATTATCATTCCAATATATCCTTATAAACTGCATTTCTTATCTCTTTCTCTTATGCTCATATAAAAACTTCATTCAGTAATCCTCTACCTTGAGTGGCTCTTTGGCCCTGTATTGAGTGAACATTAGTAAAAAAAAAAAAAAAAAAAAATGAAACCATACATATATTTTTTGTGAGTACAACATTTTCCACAGATACAATTATAAAGTTCTTCCTAATGAGTAGGTCCTTGAAGGTAGTTGTTAATGACCAGTCCTCTGAAGCCCTAGCGATCTATACAGGTGTCCCCCAGTTTTTCTTCTTAGTCAAACCCTCTTTTTACTTTATATAAATCATATACATAAGATTATCCTCCACTCCTTTTTTGAATGTCTATGTTGATGATATCAGGTGCACTTCCAAAACCCAAAATGATTGGCAGATGATCTCTCCTCTGACCTAGTTCTAACAGCTCAGTTGGGGAAAAACTGGCTGGTCGCATTCAATACTCCGAAAACCAATGAACCATCAGGGTCATAGGGCACCACATGTACTGCAGTAGAAGTGGTGTTTCTTAGGCAAGATAGCCTGATGAAGCCCAGTGAATTCAGAGTTACCTTCTCCTAGGCATGTTGCCACCCAAGGCTAGAGAACCCAGTTTGTGCTGCTATTTACCCATAGCTAGATAATGATTTTCTAATAAAAAAAGGAAAGTTATGTCAAAAACTGCAAAGACCTGCCATAACATGCACAAAGGGGTAAACCAACTTCATTCTCTTCATATTCCTTCAGCAAGAAGGCTGTTTCACTCTGACATCTTCTTACAAAAAAACACAGCCATAGTTATTAATTTTTTTATGCTGTGACCCATTGTGTCGTAGGAGCACCCTGTGTACTGCAGCTATAGTAGAAATGGTGTTTCTTGGGCAAGATAGCCTGACGGAACCCAACCCTCTCCAGGCTGGTTTTGATTTCAGAGTTTTTCCTTCTTCTAGACTGGTTGCCACCCAAGTTTATAGAACCCAGCCTGTCATGCTATTTACCCATAGCTGGTGAGAGAAGAGGATTCATACCTTTCCCAACGGTATTAGCACATAAGTGAATGTAATGGATCTGAATAAATTAAACACTTCTTGTAATGTATCTGAAAATGCTTTTGTCATTATATTAACGAAGACAGTATAAGGAATGAGGAAATTGAATACTCGGAGTAGCTTTGTCTGACATTGTAAGATATTACAAAACTAAAACATTAAACTAAGAATGCAACACGTTTTAAAAAGCCTCATCAGATCAAGCCTTTCATATGGAGATCATGCACGCTGCCAAATTCATTCAGAAATACCTTTCTCAAATCAACAATTAAAAATTTGGGCAGATGAACCCACAAGGTCTTAACAAGGACCATCCTCCTCCAAACCTTATGGAATCACAAACAAAGAACTTTACCAAATAATAGAAACCACATCACTTGGAGATTTTCAATGGCAGCAACATTTAAAAGGTAACTTGAAAAGAAAATAATGACATATTCAAAATGTTGAAATTCTACCCAACTTCAAAGAAAAGATCAAAAAGGAATTTGGGTTTTGTCTGTTTTTACAACTTACCAACCCTTTACAGATTATTTAAAGCCAAAAGATATTTTAAATTGTAAGAATCTTTTTTTTTGCATTAACAACATGATTTTTTTTTCAATTACTTATTTAACCCATACATATGGGCAGGAAATAGATGTTAAGAAGGAAACCCTCATCAAGAGCAACAACATTTATTGGACTTGGGATATCAAAAGGATGGCCCAGAGAGAGAGAGAGAGAGACTCAAGAGGATAAGAGATCTCAAGAGGAGAGAGAGAGAGAGAGAGAGATCTCAAGAGGATAACCCAGAGAGAGAGAGAGAGAGAGAGAGAGAGATCTCAAGAGGATAACCCAGAGAGAGAGAGAGAGAGAGAGATCTCAAGAGGATAACCCAGAGAGAGAGAGAGAGAGAGGATAACCCAGAGAGAGAGGATAACCCCAGAGAGAGAGAGAGAGAGAGAGAGAGAGAGAGAGAGAGAGAGATATCTCAAGAGAGAGAGAACCCAGAGAGAGAGAGAGAGAGAGAGAGAGAGAGAGAGATCTCTCAAGAGGATAACCCAGAGAGAGAGAGAGAGTGATCTCAAGAGGATAGCATAGAGAGAGAGAGAGAGTGATCTCAAGAGGATAGCATAGAGAGAGAGAGAGAGTGGATCTCAGAGAGAGAGAGGAGAGAGGATCTCAAGAGGATAGAGAGAGAGAGATCTCAGAGGATAGATAGAGAGAGAGAGAGAGGATCTCAAGAGGAGAGAGAGTATAGAGAGAGAGAGAGAGGATAAGAGAAGAGGATCTCAAGAGGATAGAGAGAGAGAGAGAGGAGTGATCTCAAGAGGATCTCAAGAGCATAGAGAGAGAGAGAGAGGATCTCAAGGAGGATAGATCTCAAGAGAGAGAGAGAGATCTCAAGAGGATAGAGAGAGTGATCTCAGAGGAGAGAGAGAGAGAGTGATCTCAAGAGGATAGCCGAGAGAGAGATCTCAAGAGGATAGAGAGAGAGAGAGAGAGAGAGAGATCTCAAGAGGATAGAGAGAGAGAGAGAGAGAGAGAGAGAGGTGATCTCAAGAGGATCTCAAGAGGATAGCCGAGAGAGAGAGAGAGTGAGAGAGAGAGAGAGAGTGATCTGAAAAGAGGGATCAAGAGGATCTCAAGAGGAGAAGAGAGAGAGAGAGAGTGGATCTCAAGAGGATGACCGAGAGAGAGAGAGAGAGGATCTCAAGAGAGAGAGAGAGACTTTGATCTCAAGAGGATGAGGAGAGAGAGAGAGAGAGGAAGAGGATAGCAGAGAGAGAGAGAGAGAGTGATCTCAAGAGGATAGCCGAGAGAGAGAGAGAGAGTGATCTCAAGAGGATAAGAGAGAGAGAGAGAGTGATCTCAAGAGGATAGCCGAGAGAGAGAGAGAGAGAGAGAGAGAGTGATCTCAAGAGGATAGCCGAGAGAGAGAGTGATCTCAAGAGGATGGCCCTGAAAGAGAGAGAGAGAGATCAACAGGATGGCCCTGAAAGAGAGAGAGAGAGATCAACAGGATGGCCCTGAAAAGAGAGGATCAACAGGATGGCCCTGAAAAGAGAGAGATCAACAGGAGAGAAAGAGAGATCTGACCCAAGAGGATAGGATCAACAGGATGAAAGAGAGAGATCAACAGGAGAAAGAGAGAGAGATCAACAGGATGGCCCTGAAAGAGAGAGAGATCAACAGGATGACCCTGAAAGAGAGAGAGAGATGGCCCTGAAAGAGAGAGAGAGATCAACAGGATCTGAAGAGAGAGGAGAGAGAGAGAGATCAACAGGAGAGAGAGAGAGATCAAGAAAGAGAGAGAGAGATCAACAGGAGGATGGCCCAGGATGGCCCTGAAAGAGAGAGAGAGATCAACAGGATGGCCCTGAAAGAGAGAGAGAGATCAACAGGATGGCCCTGAAAGAGAGAGAGAGATCAACAGGATGGCCCTGAAAGAGAGAGAGAGATCAACAGGATGGCCCTGAAAGAGAGAGAGAGATCAACAGGATGGCCCTGAAAAGATCAACAGAGAGAGAGAGAGATCAACAGGATGGCCCTGACAGGATGGCCCTGAAAGAGAGAGAGAGAGAGGATCAGATCAACAGGATGGCCCTGAAAGAGAGAGAGAGAGAGAGATCAACAGGATGGCCCTGAAAGAAGAGAGAGAGAGAGATCAACAGGATGGCCCTGAAAGAGAGAGAGAGAGATCAACAGGATGGCCCTGAAAGAGAGAGAGAGAGATCAACAGGATGGCCCTGAAAGAGAGAGAGAGAGAGATCAACAGGATGGCCCTGAAAGAGAGAGAGAGAAAGAGACTGAGAGAGAGATCAGGATGGCCCAGGACAGATCCAGACAGAGACAGAGAGAGAGACAGAGGTCATCAGGACAGCCAGACAGAAAGAGAGAGAGAGAGAGATATCATCCTGACCCAGATAGAGACACGGAGAGGGATCAGTTTACAATACCTACATACATAAATATTGTATCGACTTACAAATTAACAAGCACTGTTGCCAAGACTCCTTGATAAGTGTTCACGATTAAGTCTGCAGTTTCAATCATTTTTTCTTTTTTCTCTTCATCATAGTAAAGATAGATGCAATGAACTGCTTGGCACGGAATACGGGACCCATCTTCAGGAAGATAAAACTGCAAAATAAAATGCAGAAAAATGCAGTTACCTTACCCTCTCAATAATCTATATAAACAAACATTTATTATCTGTTTGTCATTTTTTTTACAATGGTTTTCACTCTATACAAGGACCTGAGAGCCACTCAAAGCAGTGGGTTACTAAGAAAGATGTAAAGCTTATGCAGATATGTGGAAAAGATAATAGTTATCCCTAGACTTGAACAGGTCAAGAATGTAGTGATTGGGAAAGAGTCAGTTTTACAAGGCAGTGGCTTATGAGAAGCTGCTGCTCAGATGGAATTTACATCTCACCAAAGAAATCGGGAGGGGAATGAGGGTGATTTGTTACAATGGGCATGGCATGGTGGGTCTTAGTTATGATGGCTAGGACTACTTTTCCTCAAGGAACGACAAAATACTTCAAAGTGAAAAAATCAACCGAAGTGAAATGGATGAAATTATGACGTGTAAGTTTGAAACTCTTATTGAAAATTGTTCCACAAACAAACCACATACACACACATAAAACAAAAACGAAACACATATACCCATACATATGAGTACAAATAGTTGCAAACACTTACGTACGTACACATGCGGTATCACCCACACATTCATGAGGCATGTATGTATAATGCGCGTATGTTTAACTATCTTTAGATTTCTGCTACCTCGCATGTCAGTCCCTCCCTGGCCTCTTTCACTTTATCGTTCCTTTCGCTTCTGTTATCTTTTAATGTTGCCAAGGGTCATAACAAATATGTATCCATTATTTGACATTAAACATAGGCAACGCAACTTGGTAAAATAAGTCTCATGAAAGATAACTGGCAGATAGTCTAATATTTTTAGTGCACTGAGATGTGTAGACATTCTATGGAAAATGACATATAACAAATTTCATTTGAAGGTCGTCGCTCATGTTAAAAATAGTCATTGGTAATCAGGCTCGCGGGCTGGTCAAAATGCCTTCGCAGGCTGGATCCGGCCTGCGGGTTACCGACCCTTGATGTAAATAATGTACATAATACCTCATCTGAGAAATATAGACAGATATGATACAAGTTTAGGATTAAATTCAAATTACACCATTATTCTTTTTTTTTATGAATTTTTTCTAGATCCTCTATCATAAATTAATTAAATAAAATTAAATTAACAAAACATTTTGATTCTGCTGCCAACTTACATGTTTTGGTCCATCAAGCAATCTCAGTGCCCACAGAAGGGAATTCAGTGTGACATTTCCACGGTAAAGAATACGTGGACAGTTTCCAACAGCTCTTTCCTCTGAATCTGAAGGCATACCTTTGCACTTGAAAAACCAGATGATTGTATTGTTGTCTGTTGTTGACATCCTAGTGAAACAGAAATGCAGAGGATAAATCTTATAATGAACTCCAGATTCAGCTAGCATTCAATCAACTATATCCAGGCATGAACCCAGCAAGAGGCCTAGTGGCCAAGTGGTAGGAATTCACACCTCTGATTCAGCAAAGCATCATTTTATTTTTTTTTTTAATTATTTCAATAATGAAATTTCATAAAAGAAAAAGAAAATTAATAAATAAATTCTATCTGGTTATAGGTTCTTAAAAATGTTTTTTTCAGATGGTTAAAAAAAAAAAAAAAAATTACATCTAGACCATCCAATAGAACATTTTTAAGGTATCTAAACTATTCAGAACAAAGGTAAAATGTACCTAAAATATTCTGTTTGCATAGAAAATGGCTGTGGTTCCAGATTTTTTTTTCTCTGAACTGTATTTCTGGAATGAAAATTTGCTTGCACCTCACCAAATTTTGTGTGATAAAAGTACATTTAAAAAGAGAGAGTTAAAGGGAGATAATCACAGATTCGAAGTCAGAACATTATCATTGATAACTCTCTCCTCCAATTTACAGAGTCTAATTACTATATTCTTAATACTTGATATAATGCCAAAAATATCGCAATGATAAAAACAGTCAATAATTATTTACAACCATTTATACTGGGATTCATGCAAGCAATTACAAGTAATCCATAATAATATTTAAAATTTTGAAATCACATTTATTTTTGGCATATGAATTTTTTGAAACTGTTTCTAAATATTTGACTGTCTTTAAATCGTTCCACCTCACTTGCTATCATCTTCCGCTGCACCTATGACACACAGCGCAGTTGGGAACCACTGCTATAAGGGAGCCAACTTACAGCTTCATATTTTCTTAAATATCAAATTTATAATGTGCCTAAATCAACATAAACTATTATTCCAACACAAGTGGTTTGAGAAAAATGTTTTAACCCTACATAGAAGTTTGTCAATAAAACAAAGTTTCTGTCACATGATCTTTCAACATGTAAGAATGTAGTAAAAATCTCAAAAATTTCTTAAACAGCCTAATTCGTTTGCTGATGTCATGAGAATAGGTAATTTTAAGGATATTAAAAAAAAAAAAGTTCAAGCGATTTTCAAACAGTGATACTGACATTCCTATAATAGGGATGAATATGGATAACGCATAGAAATAATTTATTAGGCCATAAATAACAGGAAAACGAATTTGGCTGCTATATCTGACATACTTTGTAAATGAGAAGCTCTTGTTATAAAAAGCATTTGGTTGCAAAGGAAAGGATTGAAATTTCAACAGTGTGCATTCATCAAATTTCAGATTATGTACATAGTTGTTTGAAAGGTATTAGGTTGGTGCAAAAATAATGACGTAATAATGTTGTTTTTTGACGTATTTTTTAACGTCAAAAAAACGACATTCTTACGTCATTATTTTTGCACCAACCTAATAACAAAATTGTTCAGGTGTGGTTCTTCAGTTTCTGTTGATAAGGAAACTGATTTGATGTAAGGGTCTCATCAGCAGGGCCAGGATTTGACTGATTTCTTGAGTTGGTTACTTGAAGTTATGGTTGGTATCGGGATACGTCTGGAGCAGATTTAGTGAAGCCAAGTGTGTGTTATCAGTGATGTGTAACATGTGCCCTTCTTCCTGGTTGCAATCGACAGGTGTAAGGTGTTGATGGGCTGGCAGTCATGTGATGCTGAGATGTTGAAGGTGGGTTGGCAGGTTAACCAATCAAAGCCAAGGTGGTGGGTCGAGTTGTGAGAAGGTGTATTGCTAAGGTTATGGCAGTGACGACAAGAGAGGCCTGGTGTGTATAGTGTAGGTTGATCAAGCGGATAGTGAAGGTTAATCAAGTGGGAAGTGTCTGTTGGATTCTGGCTGAATGTGATATCAACAAAATGCGTCATAGTGGTGATGAGGGACGCCTGGAGTGGATGGTGAGGATTGATCAAGCAGAATGTTTGATTCAGGTCAAATGTAGTATCAATAAGACAAGATCATGTTGATGATAACAAGGAGGTATCAATGACACGAGGTCATGGTAGTGACAGCAAGGGAGGCTTGGAGCTGGATAGTGAAGATGAGATGTTAGAATCATGGTGGTGGCGCCCAGTGGTGTCAGAGCTGGCCTATCAGCCACATTTTGCATGTGCAGATTCTGGTGAAATTAATAATTAATGAAGGTTGAGTGAGGTCATGGTTGCAATGAGAAAAGCAATCATGGCAATGACAGCATGCTTGCATACTGACAGGAGGCCTTTTGTCTTACAATTTGTCCGCTGTTTATGAGGGCTTTCTTTTAAAGAAACTCACATGGTCTCTAGAGTTATTTTATTTTTGGCAGGAACGTTAGTGATTGGCTATTACATTTTATTGCAGGGATTTGTTTTGTGAACTGAATATGATGTTCAGAGCCCCTGCAGAGAAAGCAACATTTTTTTTTTATTTTGTGTTTTGCTTTCTTAGCATTCACATCTGGTAGACATGTAAAGTGAATCAGAAAGAGATCTAATTACTGCGGAACATAACACACACAATCTGGACAGCTTCTTTTTACATTTTGGTCACCTTCAGGTCCTCATAAAAATAACAGTACATAAGACATACCTAGAGTGTTTATATTTTTGTCATCTACAGTAAATATTAACTATTATCACAAAGTTTCTAATCTGTAAATGCAATCTGCCTGGATCTATGAAGATCAAAAACATGTTGAAAACCTTATTTAGCAAAATGTAAAAAAAAAAAAATGCTGTGAAATTTCAAGATGTTCTGATTTTAAAACTATTGAAGATATAGATTTAATATTTGAAACGTGTCAATAAATTTGAACAAGGAACATGTGTGAATTTTCTCAGATTTTTCCGAGAAGGTCACCTGTGGATATTTAACATGGAATGACCTATAATCTAAATCTGGTCAACTTGTCATGGAGTTGTGGTTAGCAAGCTAGTTTTAAATGTATGATGACAATGAATTTAATACCCAATGGGGGAGGGGTGGCCATACAATATCCTTGTGTTAGGTTAGTCACTGGATTGCACTCTACAGAATAGTCGTTATTAACCAAGTTTCATGCAGGCACTTATTCTCTACGTGTCATGTCTTTTCAGGAAATGAGCAATCATGGCTCTCCACAACTTCCTAATTTTTGTTGCGATAACTAAGTGTCCACTATTCACTGCCATATAGAAGATTAAATATTACTTAGCAGTTCAGAACTCCTTTCTTTGTTTCTAATGACATTTTCCTCTCTTAATGGCTTGTTAGTTTTAGGCAACATTTTGCGATGGATAAATTGTCGTCTAAATTACACAAAAAATGAAAATAACACTGACATCTCATTTTAACAGATATATTTACCAAAATTGCACAAAAGTATCTTGAAATACTAATGAGTAAATTTATTCAATAAAAAAAAAAAAAAAAAAAAAAAAATTGCCATTGGCCTCAACCACAACGCCCAGACAACTTCGGAATCTCCTGCATCTCTTCTGGACGGGTTCCTTGTTTAAGTTGGGGAATGCTGCCATAATCCTTGCCTTCATCTCATCTTTGGTGTTACAAGGAGTTTTGTTGGTCTCAGCTGCACCCCACACATAATAATCAAGATGGTTGCAGTCTGGGGAATTAGGTGGCTATATGTAAAGGTTGATGTGGTCACAGAAATTGTCTGGGTTCTCCTGCCTGTGTGGCATGGTGCAGAGTCCTTTTGCCAGACATAGGGTTTTCCAGCAGCCACCCTCTTGATGCAGGGCAGCACTATCTCTTCAAGTTACTTGATGCAGGCGTCCATGTTTAATCTGAGGCCCTCACCAATAAATTTGGGAGTTCTTTTCTTATCATAATTATTAGAATGAGTTTTCCAAGATGCATACCTTCGTAATCACCATTAGACTCATCCAACTCTTTCTAAATCCTCTGCACTGTCCTCAGATTGACACTTAAACAGTATGAAGTGTTAATATTTGGGCTTCTTGTGCAAATTCCAAGCAGCACAGAATGTGGTTTCTAAATTTCTGGCAGAGTGAATTGCATCGCGGTGCTCTTTTTGTTACAGATGGTGTCCAACTGACCCTACTATACAGTGCAGTCAACAAAATAAATAACAAACAACAGGCATGCGCAAAATTAAAAATACAAAATGACGACAATTTAGCCATCGCACCTTGTAGAAGATTAGATATTACATAGCAGTTCAGATCTCATTTTCTTTGTTTCTAATGACATTTTCTTAATACTTTATCTCAGTTTCTTGAATGATTCCTTCACCATTCCATTTTGAACCTTCAGATTTCAGGGTCACACTTGCCAGAATCTTTGAATTTTCTTTGGACACTCACATTTGTGACTTATGTCGGACATCTCTCAGTTTCAAAGGCAGATGCGATGCTCATGAATACGATAGTAACTAGGCACTCAAACATGTAGTCTTGTAATAGACAAAGATTATCAGTTAATACTTTGATATACTTCACCAAGTAGAGCATGAATAGCTACTTTTATAAGTTATACTAAACTCTCCTGGGCAGTGTCATTGTCATCTTCTATATGGCATTATCCCTTCAGGACATTGGCAGCCATAGCTCTCCACTATATCCTGAACTTTGTAGCTCTAAGTGAAATTCATCTTTTTGCTGTCTCTCCTAAACCTTGTTCTGCCAAACATTTACACAAGTTCAGTAGATAGTCTATTCACTGCTTTTCTGTGTCTCTTGTCTTTAATATTACCTGTCAGTGTCAAATTTTCTAGGCCCTCTTTCCTCATTATGTGCCCTAGAAAGTTCTACTGTCTTTTTATGATGCAAACTATAAGTTATATTTACATCCATTTTTTTAAAACTTTATAGTTGCTCACATGTTCAGTCCATGGTATTGTCTGCATATGCTTCTGCAGAACAATTTTTCTGTTGCGTCATATCTTTTCTTCGTCTGTGAGGAGATCGTCCTGATCATAATTTTGTACATTTCAGCAAGAAAAAAAAATTTCAAAAGGAGACTGGAGAAACAACCGCCTAGTGAAGAAACAAGTAGCAACAAAGATGAAGACAATAAAATTTTTAAAAGTTATCCCAAATAGAAATCCACCCCCTCCACATAAAAAAAAAACAAACTCATGAGTAGAAAAGAAAGGTAACTCACTCCAAATCTGACACAGCACGCTGTGAATTGGTAAACATAAATTGAACTTCGTTGTGAAATGCATACGCCACTTCCATAAAGACACGGTGAACTGCAAAAGACAGTTGAAAGGAGGTTGACATAGAAGTGTGAATGCAGAGACTGATATGCTAAGGTAACACTGCAGACATGCAGGTGATTAAGTACTGCTTCAGAAGACAGGTATAATAGGATGGTGCAAAGAAAAGTTCTCAGCCTGACCCCCTTCCCCAAAATCTAGTCAAATGACTAATCATCAGAAACTTTGGTTCCAATATAATGGAAATGGCTGCAAAAACATCCACCCCGCCAGATTTATATACAAAACATACAGATGCATGCTGGGATTTCTTCCTAACCAATAAGATAAGCCACTTCTCAATCTCATCCAACTTAGTTCTGTTCTTTCTTATCTTGAAGACGGAACGCTGTGATCACTTGTCTGTATCCCCTTTTGTGTGTTAACACCATTCTTAGTTTGTGAATTTTTTGCCTTATTAATGTTGATTTGCCTTATGTATATTATTTACTCAATATTATTTTTGCCCTGTTCTCTTCTTTTCTTTCTCTTGGGTCCTGATCTAGCATCTAGTCCACAGTCACTATCCCACAGACATGCTGTGGCCTCCCTCTGTCTCTTCTACAAGTATTTTCACGGCAACTGTTCCAATGAGCTACTTTTGCTAGTTCCTGGACTATACGAATTTAAGCGAGCTACCAGACTGGCACCTCAGTCCCACCCTTTCACTGTCAAAATGGTTAAATGTACCCGTCTCTTCTACTCAAACATCATCTTCTCTTGCACATCCCATCTGTGGAACTCCCTTCCCCTTTACTTGCTTCCCTAGGGACTATAATCTTCAAATATTCAAGTGTAATACCAATTGACATCTGACACCCTGAGCTTGTTCCCTACGTACACATTTGTAGTTACATCAACGTAAGTATCATTTTAGTCCAATCAAGTCCTAAAGGATGAAACACATTGCACAAAATTTTTTTTCTACTTTATCATTGAATTTTAATAAAACCCAAAAATAAAACTGGATTTTATGCAGCCTCTTTTTTTCTTTGAGAATTGACAATAAAATTATTAAACACTACACTATTAATTAAACAGTCTAATAAATAGTATTTGACATTTTTGTTGTCAGTTCTCAAAGAAGAAAATCTATAAATCAAGTGTTCACGAACTAATTTAGTGAATTTATGTGGCAAGAAAATGCTTACATTAGTCGGACTATTGTCCTCATCTTTGTCGCCATATTTGTCACAACGTTTCGGATCATGTTGAGATCATAGACAGGGAACACCATTGGAAAATTCGTAAACTTAAGCAATGGTAGCTACAGCATAGTGAAGAAAGATCCCACTATGAAAACGGAACGCAAACTGTCACAGATCCTAATCAAGAACAAGGATCACTTCGCACCCAAGACGTATAGGCAGTTATCACAGCGTTACAGCAAGTTACCTCACATATACGGTCTCCCTAAGATTCACAAGGACGGTATTCCACTCAGGCCGATTGTTAGCTGCCAAGGCTCTGTGTGCCACCCTCTGAGTCGCTTCCTTGTAGATATAATTGACCCATTGATCCGAAAGTCTCCTTCATATGTCCGAAACTCCGCCCACTTCGTGGAAATAATCAAAGACGCTCCCATCCTATCCAACCAGATGGTGAGCTTGGACGTGGTGAGTCTGTTCACCAAGGTACCCACGGAGGAGGCACTCTCAGTAGTCAGAGATAGATTAACCTCTGACTCTTCCTAGAGGAGCGGACCAGTATTCCAATAGATAATCTGATGGAGATGTTGACTTTCTGTACACAAACAACACACTTGAATGGGATCTCACATATATCGACAGGATGAGGGCTTAACAATGGGCTCGCCATTATCACCAGCAATGGCGAATATATACATGGAATACTTTGAAGAAATGGCATTAGAGTCTATATCGCTAAAGCCAACTATATGGTTATGCGTAGATGACACTTTCATACTCTGGCCACATCAGGAAGAAGTCCAGGTTCTCCTGGACCATGTGAACTCAATAAGACCTTCGATACAGTTCACAATGGAGAAAGAGAGTAACAACTCACTCCCATTCCTGGATGTACTAATATCTCGAACAGAGAATGGGTTCAAGACATCCGTATACCGTAAACCAACATTCACCGGACAGTACCTCAATTTCAACTCCCACTATCCATACAGCGTAAAAGAAAGGGATCGTCCGATGCTTACAACACCGAGCAAAAGTCATAAGTGGCGATCCAGAGACGTTAGATAAGGAATTGGTCAGTATAAGTAGTACCCCACAACGCAACAACTACCCTGGGTACATGGCAGCAGCCCCCAAAAAAACTGGGATAGGCGGGTACAAGAGGAGGAGGAGGAGGACAAAACACTCAGAAAACGGTCTGCCTGCCTTATGTGAAGGGGTTATCAGAGAAAATACAAAGGATCTGCGGTCCATATAACATCAGGACAACCTTCAAAAGCGTGACAACACTTGCAGGTATCTCTCACAGTGAGACCCCCATAGAGAGGAACATGACTAAAGACTGTGTGTACGCTATCCCATGCAGCTGCGGAAAGGAATATAAAGGAGAGACAGGCCGCCCCCCCCCTCAAGGTAAGGCTTCAAGAACACCAGAAAGCTGTAATCATGAGGGGAAGTAGAAAATCAGGCGTGGCTGACCACATATGGAGAGAGAAGGAGATCACCGCCCCCTGTGGGATCATGTTGAGATCATAGACAGGGAACACCATTGGAAAATTCGTAAACTTAAGGAATCAGCACATATGCTAGGCCACAAAAATCTCCTGAGCCGACCAAGCATAGAAATAAATACAATATGGGAACCAGTAATAAGGAGTGCCAGAAAAGCAATGATAACAAAGTTGCAATATGAACTCTGGTAAAAACATGCAATGATAACAGCAAAAATTGCAATATGAGCACTGGTAAAATGATGCTGAAAACATTAGGTTTATAATACTCAGAAGTTCATACCCAGATGTCCTCAAGGACACATGGCACAGTGGATAAAGGCGTTGGTTAGATCCAGTGACAGACCCAAATTCAATTCCTGGTTAAGGCAGTGGAGAACTTTCAGAGGGAAAATTAGCAGGAGATAACTGATAACTGACATCCATCAAACATGGCACGTGGAATTAGAACAGTCTACCCCGGTGATCGAAATAAAGGGTTCAGTTCGAAATTCCAACCACCTGAAGAAGGCCGGAGCGTACAACGGCCGAAACGTTGTGACAAATATGGTGACAAAGATGAGGACAATAGTCCGACTAATGTAAATACTGTACATAATACCTCATCTCAAAAATATAGACAAACTCTGAAGAAAATGCTTGTAAAATTTATTTAAAATTTATAATTACAATTACTTATAGCTATGTGTTTATTTAAATTTTGTTTTCTTCACAGATATTTTTATAAAATATAATTATTCATAGTTATTTTGTATACATGAGAAACTATATATTACTAGGTTTATATATATAAAATATAAAAATTAAAAACTTACATAATCAGTGAAATGAAATAGCTATTTTTTGCCGTCATTGTCAAAAAAGTTTTCCTTAAATAATATTTTGAAAAAAAAAAAAAAAAAAAATGTGACCTGGTAATATACATACTTATATTTGGAAAAATAATTTCATATACTGGAAGTAATTCTATTACATTTACTTGTTTTAAAAAGAAACATAGTCTATTAAAAATTAAAAGGAAAAATATTTTAAAATATTGTTAAATAAAATGTATTCTAACACGAACATCTCCGCCAAAAAATCTTTATGTTTACAAATAGAAAAAATGCCGTAAGAATTTTTTGCCGTTAACAATAAAATTTAAAAAAAAACCCAGATGACATGAATTTAACGGATGTCAGGATTCGTCGAAAAATACATCCCCACCCATACCTAAACCTTTTTCAAATATAACAAATAACTGATACAACAAAAGTTAATAAAACTGAACATGCTACCATCCCTTGTCTGGATGATTGGATTTCTCTGTATCCTTGGCAACTGTAAATTATGAATTTCCCTCACAGTTAAAACTCAGTAAATTTAAAAAAATAAGTTACTCCAAAATTCACTTGAGGATGAAATGGAACTAACGTTTTTAATTTAATTACAAAATTAAATTTAAAGTTTTTAGCTTCCATTTTTGAAACATGGTTATTACTATGTTGTGAAAAAACCATATTTTAAATCAGTTAATTTATATATATATATATATATATATATATATATATACACACACACAAATTTAAAAAGAACTTTAAACATTCTTTTTTTTTTACGGTAATTATTTTTACTAATAAATTGTTTTAAGTTTCCCTCTATTTTCTACTATTCATTTCTTGTGAATATCGTTTTCTGTCTTTTCTCAAATCACATCAGCAAATCCTTCTGATGAAGTGTTCTTTTTAAATCAATATATTTATTCTATGGTGTCAGATCATTATATATATATATATATATATATATATATATATATAGTACAGGTAATTGATCCATTGGTATATAACCCGGTGGTGCCTAGTAATAATAATTATTAAAACTGATCCACAGAGAGCTCGATGTTTTTATTTTAAGCATAGATATTTTTTTACAGCAAAAAAACAAAAATTACTTCAGCATCAGAATAGACTATTTCAAAATGTCCCTTAACGGCTTTCATCAGCCGCTAAACTTAGTTTAGTGGCTGACGAAAGCTATAAAGGGATGGTTTGAAATTGTCTATTCCAATGTTGAGGTAATTTTTTTTTTTTTTTGCTGTAAAATATATATATATATATATATATATATATATGAAATAGAAAACATGTGGTATGTTTCATGGCACTAGGCCATTTCCTTCTTGGTCAGACTAAGAACTTTCCAGCATCCACTTGTAAATAAAAGAACATATCAATTACTTACCATAAGTACCAATTGCTGAAAAATAACCAAACACTACATCTTTTTTCCCTTGTAATGGTGCCATTCTTTCTAGACGTTCAACCTTAGTGTTGATAATGTCCACGACATCAATGAGAGCAATTCTGAAAATTAAAGACATCAGAATTGAGGAAACATGGTTACAGAACAATCACTGTTAAACACAAAGCAAACAAATTGGCAAACCCTATCCTCGCATATTTTAATATTTTTTTTTTATTTCTGTAATCTATAATAGGATCATTGAGGTATAAAACGTAACAACAAAAGTAATAAATGTGTCTACAGCCCATCTCTCTTCAGGCTGGTTTCAAATTCAGAGTAATCAACATATATCAATGACCTTAATATATTCTGTGTCATTTTGCTAATTGCATTTTCTGCATCATTTTCCTATAACTGCATATTCGTCGTCACTTTCCTATAACTTCATATTAGTCGTCACTTTCCTATAAATGCATATTCATCATCATTTTCCTATAACTGCATATTTTTCGTCACTTTCCTATAAATGCATATTTGTCGTCACTTTCCTATAAATGCATATTCATCATCATTTTCCTATAAATGCATATTTGTCGTCACTTTCCTATAAATGCATATTTTTCGTCACTTTCCTATAAATGCATATTTGTCGTCACTTTCCTATAAATGCATATTTGTCGTCACTTTCCTATAAATGCATATTCGTCATCTTCATCATCATTTTCCTATAACTGCATATTTGTCGTCACTTTCCTATAACTTCATATTTGTTGTCACTTTCCTATAACTGCATATTTATCATCATTTTCCTCTAACTGCATATTCGTCGTCATTTTGCTATAAAATGTATTGCTGGTTATTTGCTATAAAAATGTATTTTTATACATTCCTGATGTTTTGATTTATGTTTGAGGCTTCACTATTTGCCTGTCACTGTGACACTAACAGGTGCTACCACCCCAGGTCAGGCTGGGCCTAGGGTGGTAGCATCTGTTATTATCATATCAATGACTAGGTCTTTGTTCAGTCATTTATTGTTGAATATAAGGATAAAAATTGTAATGAATCCCCATATAGCTAGGCTCAGTTAACACAAGAGTATCACAAAAAATGAGACATCACTCCAGTTTACACTAATAACAATACCCATCTACTCATTTCCAAGCACACCCCTCTGTTAGGGCAACTAGTCCATCCCAGTTGTAGACACCTGCTCAGGCACATTTGTGATTATTCAACATCTATACTGACCATCTGTGGTTTATATTGCAACTACCGTATTTATTTTAATTAAAATTTTTTGTATCATGCACAAGAAAATACGGTAGTTGCAATATAAACCACAGATGGTCAGTATAGATGTTAAATAATCACAAAATGAGCAGGTGTCTACAACTGGGATGGACTAGTTGCCCTAACATAACCATCTACTCATTTCCAAGCACACCCCTCTGTTAGGGCAACTAGTCCATCCCAGTTGTAGACACCTGCTCAAGCACATTTGTGATTATTTAACATCTATACTGACCATCTGTGGTTTATATTGCAACTACCGTATTTTCTTGTGCATGATACAAAAAATTTTTAATTAAAATTAAAGGCAAAAAATGTTGGGGGTCATTGTATATGCAAGTAGATGTCTTCAAAAATTTATACTCTGCTTAAAAAAACCTCTTATTTGAAACAGCAAGATAACAAATACACTCAATTAGTGCAATAGATAACACAAAGTAGGCAGGTATTAATTACAATTGTTTGCAGAATGGTATTTGATATGGTGGCAATATTTGTTTCTCTCTTTCTCCTTAATAAAAGACAATATTCCTTTATTTGCACTCTTTTGGTCCTGTTACTGGATCTAACTGATGTCTTTAAATTTTAAATTGATAAAGGCGTTAGTTAGATCCAGTGACAGGACCCAAAGAGAGTGAGTTCAGTACCCGGTTAAGGCAGTGGAGAACTTTCAGAGGGAAATTAACAGGAGATAACTGACATCCATTAAACATGGCATGTGGAACTAGAACAGTCTACGCCAGTGAGCGAAATAAAGGGTTCAGTTCGACAATCCAACCACCTGAAGAAGGCTGGAGTGTACAACTGACGAAATGTTGTAATAAATATGGCAACAAAGATGAGGACAATAGTCTGAATAATGTAACTAATGTACATAATACTTCATCTCAGAAATATAGACAGGTACAATGATCAATATTTCAATATTTCAATATATTATGGCCGAAAGCCTAACAACACAAAAAAGTCCTGTGTAATAATTGAACAGGAGTTGACTGACTCGGTAGGCTGGGTAGCAATAAGCTTTAGTTGCGCATGCATTTTTGTGGCATTTAAAGTCTAGCATCTTCCCGAGCAGCACCTTGTGTTTTGTATTTAAATTATAAAGTTAAATAAATTGATTCTTGCTTCAAATAGAAAGGAACTTTCTCCCTTGCAGAAAAAGAATACTTACTGAAGTGCATTCGATGCAATGGAGTTGACATCAAACATATTCATCAGGTACAAACTAGCCCAAATTTCATCATTCCTGGAAAAATAAAAATAGGTGATATGTTAAAAATCATAGTTCACACATACTAAAAACTATTGTCTTACCTCAATAGCTCATAATCAGGGCAAGATTGTTCTTTGGCTAAGATAGGCTGCAGGTTATGATATGAATATATTAATATAAATATTACAATATTAATTTTCTAAATGTTATAACTTCTAAATAGTTTCATAAACTGAAATGATATCAATATGAAAAACTCATATTTATCTGACTTTGCCGGAAATAAAGCAAATAGAAGAATATTTTAGCTTGTGTCATTGTCTTTCAAGTAGATAACATATTTGATTTTAGTTCAAAATGTTTAATCCTTTCGAGTCCTCTGAGACATGTGTGTCCCACAGATGTTTTCAACACATCCTGAAGGACATAATTGTTCCCAAAACACATTGATATGAGATAAAGTGTACATAGTGACCCATTGCTATATTTATAATACATTCAATAATATTATTTTTCGAAGTCAAAATGGAGTAAAAGTGAAAGACTGAAAATAGAGTGTATTGTGGAAAGAACAAAAGATAAACAGGATT